TGCTCCAAGTTCCAGAAAGCCTAGATTTGACCTATTTCCAAGCTGAATTCGGTACTCAAGGGGCAGACCAATGTGCCACTTTTAATCAAGGAGCAGGACGCGTCTGTTGGTCCTTGAAATGTCCAACCTAGGCGAATGTTAATAGCAAGTTATGGTTCATCTTGCATATGGACAACCACGTTCTTAAAGGGTAACTGCAAAGAAAAAAAAAAGTTTTTTTTTAAATAGCCTAATTGGCACAAGCATGTCAAAAAACAATTTTCCCGCGAGAAAAAACATATTTTACAGCAATATTTATTGCGTGAGACTCAGTTTAGTTTGCGGCTATTTCGTCCGTTTTAAATCGCGCGCCACGAAGTTGTGATTATGTGACGTCAATCCCAAAAGGTTCTCATTGGCTAAGAGTTTGATTGACAGCTTAGATCTTGGTTGTTAGACCTTTGTTATATGTTGCAATTTCCTTTTGAGCGGCATATTTTTACGTTTAAAGAATAACCCATGTGTTGAGAGTTATTATTCTTTACAAAAGGTTTACAAGACGGGCACTTCCGTTTGGATTCATACAAACAAAAGCTTCGCCATTCTTTCATGGCCGCCGAAGTCCCTGCTCCCGCCTGTCTCGCCTACCTCGACTAATCGTTTCGCCGAAGTGATCAGTGTTTCGTCGTTTCGTGCTGACCCAGGTACTTCTTGAAGTGAAGTAGTGTGTGTTTGGCAGCTGTCGCAGGTGTTAGTGATAGGAAGCGACGCGGGGTTTTGGCTTTCATAGCGCGGTTCTTTCGTTTTCCTCTTTGCTTGCTTAGCGTGCTTTTTTTTTTGTTGTTTGTTTTGCTTGTTTGCGCGTGCAAATGCTGACTTTTCGGAGATGTCATATGCGTGATCCCGACAGTGAGCCTTCCAGCAGCCATGTCGTCCCAAAAGGAATGCTATTTGGCTGGAGGCAATCGGGCGTTCGCGTAGCGACCAACGTGTCTAGTTACGTTCTCGTCATATCGCTCTGGAGGCCGTCGAGATTCGCCCCGTGTGCACCTAACGTCCGCGACTAGACAGAAAATAAAAAAGCACTGCGTCCGCTACGTAAAAATGGTCTCAGTTCATGCATCTGTAGGCAGGTACGAAATCGTGCCCAAATTTATTCACACCGCACGATGCAACACGTCGCTGTGCAAACGCAGTCCAACACGAAGCATAAAAACGGCAGATTTAGGACAACAATTCGGAGTCCATTGTTCAATTAAAACGACGTAATTTTGTTGAAAACACCCGTAGCTTTTTACTCACGGTATGCGTCGGGAAACTTCCACATTTTGAAACAGAACGAGGCAGATTTACTTTTAAAAACGCTCCCAGCGTCCTCCCGGACCAGTTTGACTGGATCAGCTGACGACGACGGGACTTATCTGGTTGAACGCCAACCCCACAACAACCAATTTGCGCTCCGTGTTAGCACCGCATTACACACAGCCCGAACGTTTCAGCTCTGTCGCATCGCCGTGTTGCACCAAACAGAACGAGATCGCCGAAACCAACGCAGCGCTGTCGTGAACCTTGGCTTGTGGCACTCGTGGATTCTGTGACTCCCTTCGCTTTCAAAGCGCGCACGACGATTACGAACGATACTTCCCGTCCTCCGGGAACATCACAGGGTCACTTCTCTGGTCTCGTCTTCGCTGCATGTGCTCGCAAACCGCGTCAAACCAAAACAAACAAAACAATACCGCGGCCTGGCGTAGTTGCCAGATCTTGCCGGAAGTCGAGACGCTGCGTCGTTCAACTGTTCAACTCCGCAACGCAAGGAGAGTGAGGGGCGGGGCGTACTCCTCTTCCGCGGGGGTCGAAAGAGCGGGAGTTTCAAACGTGGAGAGGTTCTCACTCTACTAAATTACGTCCTGTGGCGTAAATATTGATAAAAAAATTCATTTTTTTCGCGGAACATTTGTTTTGTGACATGCTTGTCCCAATTAGGCTGTTTAAAAAAAACTTTTTTTTCTTTGCAGTTACCCTTTAAGAACTTGCCACAGTTGTTTAGCTCCGAGTAATAAATAAGCTGACACTTTGTGTTTCAGGTTTTCCGGCACAGAGAGAAGTCTGCACGTTGTTTTCTCTCCTCTAGAACTCGTTTTACAAGGTAACGTGTAAAAGGTATTTCTGGCATGTCATTGCAGATGTGAGGTACTTCAACCGCTTCAAATGTGTATTCGCCTTGATGAAACTGACTTCTGACTTTCAACTCGACCTGCCTTCTTCTCAGTTTACACGGCTAGATTGCTTCAAAACTAGTTATATCAATATCAATGTGTCCTAGAACTTTAAGATTAAAACGTCTGGAGACATCATCCTTGATAAATCACCGCTGGCTGCCAGAGTCCCTTACAACTCATATGTAAACAAAGGATTTATCTCCAGCTATCAACCATCCTAATGTTTGTGGGTGGAAGATTCTGTGGTTCTTCGACCTTGTGCGCGTTTCTTCATCCTGTATGCAGAGCATTTGGTTCCGACTGGTCACCCCCGTTATTTCTTTGCTCCCTGGCCGGATCCCACATGACGGTAGCATGCCTTTTATAGCATGAGCCACAATATCATCTTCCTATGCGGTCTCTTGCACAGTGACCCTTCATAGTACATTGAAAACGCCGTAAATCAGTCTACAGCCTTTGCTTCTTTTGTGTTACTGTAATATCCGTCGGACATTCCTCTGCTCCGCTTTCGACAGTTACAGAACAAACAGTAGAGCTGCGACGTTGCTCTGTAGTGCTGGTAAGATGGTATACTTTGTTGTCCTGGATATTTTCGTGTTAACTGGCTCGTTCTAGTTGATGCATTATAGTTCCAGCCAATTCTTTCCCGACTTTCCACTTCGACGGAAAGGAAACTCAGACTCCGTTTTAGTTTCTCCTCTGCTATGACCTGTATTATTTCTACATAATCCGTCTGCGGTGATATTCCAGGACTAGGTTCCGCGGCAGTGTCTTGATCATTATATCACACATTAAAACGTATGACGCAGGACTGATAGCTAGGCTCCTTAATCCTCGGGTATGTGTGCATAAATTTAGTTAACTCTAAACAGATAATCCTGTACGCTGAGCTTTCTGAACTAATTATAGACACAACACCCCCCCCCCCCCAAAAAAAAAAAAAAAAGAAGAAAGAAAACGTTGAGCTTTTGTTTCTTCTCCACAGTATATAAATATTATACTGTGTTGAACAGGTGTTCGTACCTTGCTGACTTTTTTAAGCAGAAGTGGTGCAACACTTAGCGGACTCCTTTTGACGTCATTAAATGTGTCGGGCTGTCACTGAATGCAGGCTTTTGTTGAATCTGCAAGTAATTTTAAATTCTCCAAGAACATAAAACGTCTTTATTTTCTTGTGAAAACAAAATCAAAAATGTAAATTCTATACCTACAAAAACACGTTAAGATATGGTTGTTTGTTTCGGATTTGTGCGCTGTGTGGGCTTTTAAAAAGATATAAATGAGAAGGATCAGTATACTTATTATTATTCCAATAGAACTGTTTCCACAGTCTTTCTTTCTTTTTTACGGTCACAGTGTTAAGCGTTTGCCAAAAACCATCCGAATATTCTACTGAGAAAGCGTTGGGCACGAAAGGAAGGAAAACTATATTGGCTGAAATCCTATTTTCTCTTCTACTGTGATCTGGGGCGTCTGGTAGTAAAAAATAGGTTGCATGATGCCGAAAGCACCAAAAGCTACATGTTTGGAGTACCTATTGGATACACAAATAAAATACAGCTTAGGCATAATATGCGGAACTTGCATGTAGACGAACTTATTACAGTTTCAGCGTGGTTAGAACACTTGTACTGCATACATTGTGAAAAAAAAAAAGGTATTGAAATGCATACAATTTCTCTTTCAACTTTGATTAACAAAAAAGAGCATTCGTATTTATATTAATCGAAGAAGTTTGCCAATGGAAAAGACGAACGCGTGATTCCAATCGCCATGCATGCATAAAGCAGAGGAAAAAAGAAATCGAAAAGAATTAGCCGAGCAAGAAATGTCATCAAATAATTGCGTTTGGTACTTAGAGAAATTGTTTACATGCTGCGCGATATAATAACCATTTTTTATAGCCTGTAGAGAGAAACAATATGTTAATGTATTTTACAGTGCAGTAGCTATATGCATTGAGCAAAAGCATATGTGAATATATATCATTTTAGTCGTAAATTGACAATATGTATATACAACTGTGTACAAGAGCTGTCAGTATTCTTATTTATTGAAAACAAAATATGAAGGTGTGGTTATAACTAAGTCCGAGAAAGACAGGCCAATCAATTAATGTCAAAACTGTGACTGTATCACGGACACTGCGGCAATTTATGCAGACAACCAATCAGCACTCGTCTCCACACTTTCATACAAATATGCATATGTGACGGTCGTAACATAAAGTGATTCAAATACTGCATATGAAGTCACATGACGCTTTTTTACTGAATGACCCGATAACCATCGGTTTCGACAGTCACCTAAGCAAATAAGCCGAAAGACGTGGCTCGCCCGACATGCGATGTTGCTGCATCGTCCCCATTCCAGACACGGCCACAGCTTTGCGCAGTCGGGTTTGTTTATTCAGGATGTACAATGGAGCAATACGCCATGGACCAATTTTTCGGCTGCTGCCGTAAAACTGGTCTACGATGTATGACCTTCATGACCACTGTACTACCTTAATCAGAGTTAGTGAGAACACTAGAGTGCGTGCCATCTTAAGACTTCAGAGCACTCTGGCAGCTCGGAAAGTTTCCGGCAGTTGAAAAAATTTTAACTTGGAAGGTAGATACTGGCAAGTACCCAAATTTCGGAATAACTTGAAGTACTCACCTTCAGATTTTTATTTACAAATTTTATTATGAAGCGGAAGAAATGAGTAATAGTTTGTTTTTACAAACCCGTTTATTACCACCGTTGATGGTTTTCGCAAGTTGATTGGGTTGCACCTAGGCGCACGAGAATGTCCATTAAATTTTTCTAGACGGGTTTCCAAGAAATATTAGTTCGTTTTAGACTGGTCCATTGAGGACGTGCTTGTCTACCAGCTTCACTGTTTTCTTTTCCGGCGCGCCTTCCATCTCCAGTAGAAAGAGCCTGTTTACTTCGGGGTAAGGAAGCATGAAGGCACCCGGAAGGTAGAGTGTCACTTGCGGTCCCGTCTTGGGCCAGTAGCGGCCCAGATTGATACCATTGATGAAGGCGACGCCATGTTTCCAACCCGTCGGGTCCAGGAAGGTGTCTTTTATAGTACCCTCTCCTGGCGGGAGCGTGAATTTGCCGTGGAAGAAGCCTGGAACCTCTGGGCTGCTCCGGTTTTCAAGGAACTGCATGACGAGGCTGACGTCTCGGTTTTCAACCACCGGCACCGCTTCCATAGTCCAACCCTCCACCTTGTGGCCATTCAGTGTCACTCGGCCCGTGATTCCCTAGAAAAGAAAGGATGTCAGCCACCAGCTACATAAGTAAAATGTTGATTGAATTTAATGCATTTCAATAATTGTGTAACTTTTCTTTTCTTGCGTGGATGAGCAACGGATGCTGGCCTGTGTTACGACAGTTTGGATAGTGTGTTCGCTAATATTATGGCAATGTTGGAAACTTGTTTCCGCTAAAATTTGCCTAAAGTTATAAAGTACTGGAAGCGCACAACTTTTAAACATAGATAAGGTTTCAGCACATAAAAGCGTATCCCTTGTGAGAACCATTTTGTTTTGCGAAAGACGGCGGAGTAACGGACAATACTTTGTTTCAGATTAAGTTCAGACGCAGCTGACTCTATGAGCTAATGGGACCAGTCAAGCATCGGGAAAAGCGCAAGTCCCGAGGCCTTTTTTGTTTATGAGGAGTTCAAAGATAGGAGAAAACGTACATAAACTTGGCGAACACGATTATGGTCGATTTGTAGCTGGCATTCCTTAGACAAACTAAGGGATTCCACCTACAGAGAAAAACTACTTTTGGTTTAGACAAAGTGGTTGTATTGTGCAGGTGGCATCATTTAGTTGATGTAAGTAGGGGTTGTACGCGCTACCTTCAAAAACAGGAAGTCCGGTGGTGTTGTAGAGGTTGTAGCTTTGTATATAAGGAGGTTGGTTAACTAAATTTATTAGCTGCGTTAGAGATTCTGTCTGTCCCATTTACTTTTTCTTCAACTGTATTCTGAGTCTGGGAATGAAAAGTGCAAGAAAAAGTGTAAAGGCTGGTTCAGGCATGCAAAACGAGCGCGATACGTCCGTTGCAACCGGAGCGACCGAAACGACCGCTCTGCGCCGCGCGTACACACACCTGCAACCGCTGCAACAAGCGCAGCGGATCGGCAGCACGGCGACCGCTTCTTCGCCGCCGTCAGCTGTTTCAGCGGTGCCTCTAAAAAGGGGACGCACTGCCGCTCAATGCCGTAACAGAATATAGACAGACAGTTTTCTATAGCCTAAAGCTTTATTTTTTTTTTTCATGATAGGCTTGCAGAATACAGTGGATGAAAAAAAGAAAAGAAAAAGATGGAGTACACCGTCTTGGACGATCACGGCTCTAATACACGACTTTGGTGATAGTGCAAATCTCGCCACACGCCTTTTCTGCGATTATAAAAGATGATGTAATCTTATCAGCGATATAGCAACGCAGAAATATGATTTGGTGATCAGATAGACGTTGCAAGAGTTCAGGATTGCTAACACTAATCACTTTACTCCGGTGATGAAAACGCGTGAAAATTCGCATCCTTTATACGGTACGCGCTAGTAATACCTTGAAGTTGAGCACACGCATGAAATGCACCAAATAAGAAATCCGAGCGATGTTCGAGGACACAAATGTTTAGAAAGCACCACTGTACTCGAAGTAAACAAACACGACGGCACGGGCGTTTCTGCTGCCTTGAGTGTGCCGCCACGACATCGCCGCATGTTTAGGTGGATCTTCCCTTCTTGTACGTGCTGGGTTATCTAGCGACACATGACGAAAAGTCACACTCTAGGATAGCGCTTTTACGCGGAACGATGAGCTTTCACCACGCCGTCCACATCGACGGTCACCACCAACGCCATGTTTGCAACCAGAAGGAGCCAGCCCGCCACCGGCATCCAACGCGCGCGACCCATTCTCTTCGACGTGTGATGGGTCTGTCGTTGCGGTTGCTTCGGTTGTTTCCAACGCAGCGGGGAAAGTTGGGCTCGCTCCAACTCCTTGCGTCGTGAACGACACATGCGTGCGTCCCTCCGTGGCTATGGAAACTGGCGGTTGCAGACCCTTGCAACGGTCGTTTCGGTTGTTCCGGTCGTTCCGGTCGCTACGGACGCATGTGTGTGAATGGGCCGGGCCTTAAGGAGGCAGGGAAAAGGTGACAGGACAACGTCTCAAACTGAACTGAGTTAAGTTTCAACTGTTGTTCTGAGCTGACTTTGAGACGTTGTCCTGAGCTGAGTTTGAAACGTTGTCCTGTCCCCCTTTTTTCTGTCTTACACTTCTTATTTAAATTTCATTCCCAAAGCTGAATTTGAGACGTTGTCCTGTCCCCTTTTTTCTGTCGTTTTACACTTTTTTTTCAAATTTAATTCCCAGTCTCAGGATTTTGCATCATATACAAACTAAACTTACTATATATATGCCAGCGTTACTCGGGCGGCGTTTGATCGGATTACTACCAGCGTGCAAGGGGGTGGGGAGGCAGTTTGCCGGATCGCTTTAAGGTTTTTCTCAGCCTCAATGACCTGCCTGCCCCTGGCCGTTTCGTACTGGATGAGTATCGTTAACGAGTGCGTTCGTGTGATCACTGCTGCGTGATTTATATTAAAGACCCCCCCGGGCTGGCGGTCAAAATTACTGATCTATGGTCACATGTCACTCTGCACTGGCAAATATTCCAGCACATCTGGAGCACTCGTTGTCTCATTTAATTGCTTGACCAACTTCGCACAGTCTAAATATCACACCGGAATTTTTCTAAACCTGATTTTGTGAAAACCAGTGAGGCGTGAAAATGTTATTTGAAACTGACTGTGGAGGAACATGAAAACTGGACATCGAACTTTGCGCACTTGGACATAAAAGAAATTCGATAACTTCAAAGTTTCTTTGTTTTTTTTTTTTTTAATTTCGCCTTAAAAGAGACTCCAAACCTTCGAACTTTTCGAACTTTATGTAGAAAGAAATTCGAAATCTTTGAATTGATTGAACTTTATGTCTATAAAAAGTCGAAACGTTCGGATGTTTCGAATTTCAGATACACAGAAATTCAAAATCCTCGATTTTTGCGAACTTCACATTCAAAGAAATTCGAAATCTTGGAACTTCAGATTCCAAGTTCCAAATTCTTGAATCTGTCGATTTCAAGTTAGAAGAGTTCAAAATCTTCAAATTTATCGAACCTCGAGTAAAACAATATTCGAAATAATCGAACCCGAACATTTAGAAGCCGTGAAATCTTCGAACTTTTCAATTTCGAAACTCCACGGTGATTGAAGTTGCGAACTTTTCGATTTCGAACCTTGGTACGGTCGAAAATATAGAAATCTTTTGATTTCGAATCTTTGGTCGGGTCAAAAATATTGAAACATTTAGATTTCGAACTTAGGGTGGTTCGCGAAATCCCTATCCCTTACAAGCATGGAGAAGGACGTACTACTTCAGAAAATCGGACATTAAAAAGACAATGAAAAGTTATAACGAAAATACTTGCCTTTGGGTCTTTTCCTATATTGTAAAACTCCCTGCCAAGATTTTCCACAACAATAGTAAGAGTTTCACCCTTCTTAATATCAATGCGTTTTTTGTGAAACTTTGAGTCGAGAACATTTATACTGCCATTTCTAACGACGTAGGCTCTGTCCTTGATGCCAGACACGACCAGAGTTGGATTCTTGAAGGAACCTGCCTTGGCTGTATACATCACGAAGCCATAGTCCAGGCCCATGTCTTTAAACGTCATTGGGCCAGACTGCTCATACTTTTTGATCCAGCCATTTGCTCTGAAATGGCCTATTACTTCCATGAGCGATGCTCCTTCTGTTAAATTTACAACTCCGATATTAAGCTTTGGAGAAGCGACTGGTGCGATTCCCGGTGGCAGCGGAGAGAAGTCCTTGATGGTGTCCCTTAAGTTGTAGTACAAATCCCTCGGATCTCCTGCCTCGGAGAGCGGAGCATTGTAGTCGTAGCTTGTGACCAGTGGAATGCCTTTTCTTGAGGCTGCGCTAAACCCGAAGTTCGTCCCTCCATGAAACATGTAGATGTTGACGGAAGCATTAGTGCGTATTAGTTCCTTAAACGTGTCCATAAATGCAGGCGGAGTGCTTTCCTCGTGCGCTATTCCCCACCGAAAATACCATCCTACAAAGAGCTTCATTATGAAAAGTGGACATCCTTGTGTGTTCATGGAATTCATGGTTGATCGAACAGTCGCCACGGAGTCGAATGCGCGCATGTTGGCAGCTTTTGGAACGTCATGGATTCCTCCACACTTATGGTCTTTCTTTATCGGAAAATCGGTAGTGAACAAGATGGCATCGTCTCCGACTTGTTTCTTGAATATATTGTAAACTCCAGGCATGTAAGCGCTATCGCACATTTGGATTCCGTACTCGTTCTCGACTTGAAGTGCTATTACTGCACCACCATTTTTATAAAACGTTCCTTTTATCCTCGGTAACAGTTCACCCAACCACTTCTCAGTAGCGTCCATAAAGACCTTGTCGGTCGTTCGGAAGTTACCGGGCGCTAATGTGTTGTAGAGCCAAGAAGGAAATCCACCGTTGTCTCTCTCACCGCAGATGTAAGGGCCGACACGAAGGATCACCAGGAGGTCCTCTCGCTGGGCTTCTTTGCAGAACTCGACCAGATCGTAGTTGTCCACAAAGTTTAACTTTCCAGGCTGAGGTTCGTGTCCATTCCACTCGACGTAGCTGGCTATGGTATTGAGACCTGCCATCCGCATCTTGTGCAGGCGGTCCTTCCAGTATGCCCTCGGAACCCTGAAGTAATCCATTTCTCCGGAAATGCAACGGAAAAACCGCTTGTCTTTTAAAAAACATTTGTTTTCTTTGTCAATCACAAACGATCTTTCTTGGCATCTTGAAAAATAAATAGGCTGAAGGATTACGACAAGCGTTAATGTCCAAAAGAGGGCCCCCATGCATAACCACTTCTTTTCCAGCTAATTTTGGATACTGTCTGCCTGCTTTGAAACCCTTGCGCTCTATTTTTATGATCAACCGTGTATAAATATTACGCTAAGAGGAACAGGTGTGCGGTTCCTGGCTGTCTTTCTTACGCACAATTGTGCCTTGTTGAGGGATCTATGTTTGACAACCCTATTTAACAGGCCGAGGTACCGCTGTGTGCAAGCAAGGTTGAATATACGTGTAAATTTCGATTTTTACCTAAGTTAAGTTGCGTTTGCCATTTTGTCTTGAAAATCTTTAAAAACATTAGAAACTGCCAATTTTAGTTAGAGATGTGTGAAATAAAGAACAGTTTCCTTGTGCAGTTCTTCGTTTTGTAGTCTTTTAAAGAGAGACTGGGTGAGACGAACGACTGCGGGTTAATTTCAATGGTTTAAGTTCTTTAATTCTGTTCTTATGCAGCCGGAAGATTTAGAATATTCTCACATTCATCTGAATCACAGTGGAGATAGCCCACAATGGCGCGGAATCTACATTTGTGAAACTGATATTACTGCGTGCATGACTGGCAAGCAAAGCTTCTTCGTACATCCAGTACATTTCTAAATATTCTTCTTCAGTGTAAAAGATAAGAAGTTCTTAATGGCCTTGCCTAGTTAGTCTCGCCATAGCTTACTACCGACCTTTCTAGGTCGAATGTTTGAGATATCGAGTGCAGTAAATAAAAAGCCGAGAGATGTATTGTCAAGTCATTCACTCTTTCGCTAGCCAGTTGTCAGGCCGACGCAGAGTCGTTCGCTGCTGCCGGTGTCGATGCTCGCTGGACGTTTGTTCTTTTTGCTTCTGGCTCAAGTTCGCCGATAAAACCTTTATTTTCAGCTTTACGTTTGTCCGGCCTTTTCCATCCGCAACAATATGAACAATTTTTACACAAATTGGGAAATGCAAGTCAGCGGTAACACGCGCAATCATAGAAGCCGAGCACATTGATTATTTAGGAGACACGTGTGTTGCTATGCCGTCGATTGCATTATCGGAAAAGGAATTGTTTTTCCTGAGAACGAGATAGTGTTGTTTCCCAGTTATGCTCTGTCATGGTGTTTTTCCTTTACTTTTGTCTTTTTGTTGTCATTGTAACGATGGTTGAGACTATATATACCGGAACACGTTTTCAATAAAAATCAGTTGAAAGTTGCGCCATGTTGTGTCCTCTTCTCTGCTTTTGTCCTCGTCCTTGTTGCGCACAAGATTGTATAAGGTGTAATTCCGGTTGACTCTGAATACACTTACCGGAATTACATAGTCCTACGCTTTTCTGCACCGGTTCAGGAGGTGTAGGAAAATCTCACGCAGCTATTGTAAACTCAAGGCATGTATGCTTTATCACACATATAATTCCCGTACTCATTCTCGACTTGAAGGGCTATTACCGAAAAACAACTAATCGCGGTAGTCGATAAGCGAGTTGTCGCTTGCCGCCACGCTTGCTTGCTTGTTTTTTGTTTTTTTCTTGTTTTGCTTTCGGCTTTGATTGAAATACGGAATCGGCCAAAATCAGGCTCCTTCAAAAGCTCGCTCCGGCTCGAAGGTTGGACGATATAACCGTGCTTAGGTGCCGTTGGCGGCGTCCTTGTTTTTCCTTCGGTGATTCAGGAGCCTCGGAGTGATTTTAACAAAATCTTGCTCATAGGGCGAGGAGCGTGAGTACACTTTTTCGGGTGCGAGCATCTTTCCCAGCCTCGTTCAGACGGCGCATTTCTTTCTGAAAACAGATTCGCGACACTAGATTTGCCAAATGAATACACTGTGTGAAAATACCTTTACTGTGTTAGCGTTCTGGATACAATTGAATTACATGAATGTAGGTAAAATACCCTGGAATACCCTATACAATTATTTTAACTTTGATTTACATAAAACGGGGTTTGTTTATGAAAAAAAAAAAAAAACCGCCGAAAAACGGGCGAAAATAAAATTTCGTGGGATTAAAGTGGTGATTTTATTGAACTCATAAAAGTATATTGGAATTAACAAAGTAAGGAAAGTACGGAAGTGTGACATTTTCGAAGATCGAATACCCAGCAATGACGGACATGGTCCACTTGCGCCATCTCTCTTTGTACGCCGGTACCCTGTCAAAATTTCAATGAGGAAATTTGTTTTCTCGTTATAAAATAACAATGGGCGCACAGTTATCAAATTTACACCAGACATGGGTTCTTGATGAGCGTTCACATCACCTCGACACAAAAAAACAAACATAAAAAAGAGCAAAAGGTGGTTCCAATCGCGATTAAAATTTTGGTCACTTTGTATGGGAAATGCCGAGAGAGAGACGAACTTTGCGGTATTAAATTATTCTAGGCAGACCCCCGAAAAAAGTAAGCGATGATTAAGGAGGCCGGTACTATGCGCGACTTCTTTAGCCAGGTAGGTTCACGGTAGTACCATTCAGAAAGGTTCCTGAACGCATTTTGTACAACATACCCCCCCGAGCCGCGCGGGGCAACCATACGCAAGGTCATAACCAAGCTTTATGCCTCCACCGCCGTTTTTGGTCGTGGCGCAGCGGTGATCACGCCGGGCATCGGTTGCCACGTAGCGGTTCACGAGCCTGGGTTCGAACCCTCTCGAGGCTGAAACGAATTAATTTTTTTGCATGCTTTTATTATATTTATTATATACATCGACCCGCAGACTACAAGCTATTTCCGCATTTGAGTAGGTTTGGCGTGTCAGTGCTGGATATTTATATCTTTTTGTCTGCATATTTCGCATGTATTTGTTTACGCTCTTGCAAACCAGCACCAAGTTACTGGTTGCAATTTCAATAGGGTGCGTTATTAGGGTCTTCGGTTTTGCGTTCTATATATTTAAAAAATCGGGCGCTATTCTTATACCTGATAATCCGGGAGAAATCGGGCTTTTAAAAAGTCATTAAAAAATTCGGGTCTTGACGAGTTATATTTAGAAAATATCAACAATTTAAAATGATTCACTAAACCGCGTCTGCCTCTGGGCCTGATTATTTTTATTAACATTAAGAAAATCACGCAATGTACAGATAATTAGCAGAAACAGTGTTTTATCTCACATGATATTCCTTGTTTTCACATGGAGTGTCTAAAGACCCGGCTCCGGTACCACTTTTAAGCATTTCACCCCCACCGCACTCCCCATCCTTCATTTCCCCACAAATGACCTGAGGTCAAGGTGTCGAGAGAGCACTTAGAACACGTTAGAAAAAAAAATTTAACTGCCTCTTGAAGTAGCGCAGGTTCTTTCATAACCTAAAACATTGTAGGCGCGATATTCATTAGCTTGGGTATCGCTCAATAGCGTCATGCCAACAGATCACTTGTTCAGTACTTAGCTTCCATGGACTTGATTCCAGTCTCCATGAACCGAATCCTGGAGAAAGGCTCACCGCAAAACCGGCGGATGCAGAGAAAAGCTCACCGGCCATTGAATGTATGCGGAGAAAAGCTCACCGAATTTTTTTCATATTTTCATATCGAGGCTGTTGGATCATGCGTAACATATGTTAATTTATTATCACTAAAATTCGTCAGCTTTATAAAACAGAAAAGGTATTTTTTCTAATATCTGTTAAGCTTATTGTGTATATTGCCCCCAATTTAATAATTGCGGGCGAGTGTTTTTTGTGGTTTACTCTTTAAGCAATGAAAGCCTATCTGAAAGCTTGATGAACTTAAAGAACAGGGAAAAGTTCGAAAACTTATTAATGCCTGCCTAAGACCTAAAAAGCAAAACTATTAATTCCGAAAATCCGAAAGTGCATGCGTAACAACGCCGTGCCTGAAATTCTGTTTGACTGTTTTGTTAACCTTTGAAAACAGGATAGAACAGTCAGTAGGATATCGAGGTTTCTTTCTTCCACGGGCATGCACGTCTTCTAGCCGTTCGTGCTGGTGTTTTCAAGCGTTACCTTTGTGTGATAAGTGCCCTTCTACGGCGAGCTACCCATGACCTTCACAGCTGCACACTGTTACCGTTGTTACTCGTGACGATGTAAGAACTAGTCTTCTGTAAGGTAGCGAATTGGGCGAGTTGGTAAACGTAATACATGATGAAAACCACTCAAACGATCGACGAAGACGGAGTGAAGACAACAACCACGACAGAACGAGCCTGTTCTCGCAACTAAAATATTATTATTGAAAATACCCCCCCCCCCCCCAAAAAAAAAAAAGAAAACAACATAGCCGACACTGATTACTCCAACAAACACCTACCCATCTATCAGGCGCCACACAATCTTTGGAGCTGAAACGGTTCACACACCGCTACTCATACTACCTCGCAAAAAACAGACCTTTATCTGACAGAGCTACCGACGGCGCACTGTCAAGCTGTCAATGAATCGTTGTCTTTTTACGGCTGTCCGATGTTCGGATTTTATTCTTGCGGCTTCATTAATGTACAGAACGGGGGATTACTAATTTCTGACGAATTAGTAAGTATGCCAAATGAACTTCAAGAATAATACAAAAAAGAGGAGAATCATTTTTAAATTGACAAATTCTAATTGTGTTAAATTGCCATGTGTGACGCACAATCCGAAAAGCTAAGAACGAATAAAAAAAAATCGGTGAGCTTTTATCTGCATCCGCTCAAAGGCTGGTGAGCTTTTCTCCGCATCCGCCGGTCTTGCGGTGAGCTTTTCTCCGGGATTCCCCGTTCAGCTATGCTATGCGGTCCGCTTCACTAGCCAGTGCTGCCCGCTCCGGTATCCGTTCCGTGACCCACTCAGATATGCGATGCCGATGCGGTCCGCACCACTATCGTCTACAACAGCTGCGTCCTCCATCCATATGTAGACTGCTCCGCTGTCCTATGCTGCCCGGACTGCTATTCGCTGCGGTCCGCTCAGCCATTTGATGTGGTCCGCTCAGCCATTTGATGTGGTCCGCTCCGCTATCAGCTATCGCTGTAGTGTTTGTTATATGCACGGTGGCCAGCACTGTGCGGAGAGAGCAAGTCGTCTGCT